ACCTAAACATGGAAAATGGCTACCAATGTTGGTCTACGTTAACAACGATGAATTCCAAATAAACGTGCTAAAGATTGAGGCAGCTGCTGTACGACGGGAAGAGGAAGAGCTTTTTTTTCTCCGTCCGATTAAATGAAGCAATGACATCGAACTTAAACTTTAAAGAAAAACTGTGGCACTTGTACCACGGGACGAGGAAGAGGTTGTTTTTTTCCCTCGAAAAAATGAAGCAATGAAATCAAACTGATCCTCTGAAGAAGTATGGCTTACATATCTGGAAGATTTAGAGAGACAAACATTTAGTCTCCATACATGTTTCACAGACGTGAATTTCAGATAAGTGTACTAAACATGGAAAATGGCTCGATGGATGTGATTTTATTGGTATCAGATGTTTGTCTCTCCAAATCAGACAAAACGCAGAAGTGTCACATCTTCAAAGGTTGCGTTCGATGTCATTGCTTGATTTGTTTAGAAATTAAAAAAAGCTCTTTCAAATCCAGTGGTACCGCAAGTGCTTTAGTACGCTTATCTGAAATTCACGGCTGTGAAACATGTATGGAGACTAAATGTTTGTCTCTCTAAATCTTCCATATATAAAATATTTTTTTTAACGCTGGACAGGTTGATGATGAAACTATGTTCCTATGTCTGCAGCAGAATGACAGTAATATTAATGCAAACATGTCAAACATGAAACATTTCAAACACTTTGGGAACCTACAACAGTTAGTGTAAACATGAACACGACCAAAACAGTTCTTGGTAATTATAGGTTGTGTTAAGATGGTGGCGCGAATAGATGCAGCAGCCCCTCGCTCCCCCGAAAATGCATTGTTTTGTTTGTTGAATAAGTGTTTTTCCGAATGTTTGTCGTGCTCGTCTCGCCTGTCTATGTCGGAATATAAGTACAGTCGACTGGCTCTGCTGGACATCCCCAAGAGCAAGATTCACAACGTTTTGGACATTGAAACAGAGACACTACTGGAGCTCGGATTAGGGGCAAACACAGAGGTATCCGGGCTAGGCTGGCAGTTAGTCCATCTCGCCCAGCCATACCATCCATCATCCTGGCTAATGTACGATCCTTGGACAACAAAATGGATCACATACGACTGCTGAGGTCAGCGAATCGGACAGTGAGTAACTGCTGTGTGCTTGTTTTCACTGAGACATGGCTAAATGACAACATCCCCGACTCTGCAGTACAACTGGAGCAGCTAACCTGCTATCGAGCAGACAGAGCCCTTGTTAACGGAGGCAAGAAGCGTGGCGGCGGAGTGTGTGTTTACATCCGTGATGCGTGGTGCCGGGACACTGGTAGTATGCAAACACTGTTCACCACTGGCGGAGTTTATGATCATAAGGTGCCGTCCTTTCTATCTGCTGAAGGAGTTTACTGCGGTTTTGTTAGTGGCGGTATACATCCCTCCAACCTCCAACAGCAGTGACAGGAATGTGGCACTTTGTGAACTGTATCAGGCCACCAGTGAACAGCACACCCAGATGGATTTACCATCCTCGCTGGAGATTTTAATCATGCTGATCTTAAGACTGTCCTCCCAAAACTTTTGATGTACAAGAAGCCAGTTTTGGTTTTGCAGTTTCCAAAATGTCAGCTTTTGACACTTAAGTTTTCAAAGGTTTGATAACATGTTTTAAAACATTTTTTTTAACGCTGGACAGGTTGATGATGAAACTATGTTCCTATGTCTGCAGCAGAATGACAGTAATATTAATGCAAACATTTCAAACACTTTGGGAACCTACAACAGTTTGTGTAAACATGAACACATGACCAAAACAGTTCTTGGTAATTATGTAGGGTGATATCAGCTAAATTGAGCCATCAGGTAAAATTAGCCATTTAAGGATTGAGCCTCCTAGCTCTTTAAATTCTAATAGCCAATGCCTGCAAATAATTTCAAATTGTTGCTACAACTGTATACATTGCTTGATACAAAACAATTGATTTAATTGGTCTATGGTTGCCATGGGGGGGGGGGGGGGATGGGGGCAAAGCCTCACTTCCAGATTGCTGAGGAGAACTGTGAGGTGAGTGGCCTGGCAGACAAATCTTACTTGAACATTATAAGATTGATAAATCACTAAAAAACAGATGTCCAGCTATAAAAAAAATGGGTATAATGCATGTTGTAATAGCCTTCATCAGATATAATGCCAAACTTTTGCTTAGCTAAATAATTTTTTTTCATTTCTCCACTCTACCAACTGAGCTATCGAAGGGAGCAGACAGCTCCAAACCACTGGAATTGACAGTGTTAGTCTACGAACATGCTCGCTTAACAGTGGAAAAATTTCAAAGATTGAGGCATTTGCTTTACGACGGGAAGAGGAAGAGCTTTTTTTTGTCTGAACAAATCAAGCAATGACATCGAACTCACACTCTGAAGGAGAAGAAGCGCTTACATATCTGGACGATTTAGAGAGCGACAAACACTTAGTCTATGTACATGCTCGTTTAACAGCGGTAAATTCCAAACACACTTAATAAAGATAGAGGCACTTGCTGCAACACGGGACGAGGAAGAGGTTTTTTTTTCTATTCCGAACAAATCAAGCAATTACATCAAACTCAAACTCTCAGGAAGTGTCGCTTATTTATGCAGCTGTCCGATTTTGAGAGACAAACATTAGACACCAACCAAAAACACGTCCTTCGAGCTGGAATTGAACCAGTGACCTAAGGATTCCTGCTTAAACATTGTACAGTCCTCCGCTCTACCAACTGAGCTATCGAAGGGAGCAGACAGATGTAAGCCACTGGAATTCACAGTGACCTAAACATGGAAAATGGCTACCAGTGTTGGTCTACGTATATGCTTGTTTAAAAGCGGAAAATTTCAAATAAACGTACTAAAGACTGAGGCACTTTTTGTACCACGGGCGTAGAGGAGCTTATTTTCTGTCAGAACAAATGAAGCAATATCATTGAACTCAAACTTTAAAGAAAGATTGTGGTACAACAAGTGCCACAATCTCGGCCACAATCCATGGGATTCGGAAGAACTTTTTTTTCTTTCCAAACAAATCAAGCAATGACATGGAACTTGATCTTTGAAGATGTGTCGCTTGCGCATATTTCTCCGATTAGGAGAGACAAACACTGGATACCAGCTAAAACCACATCCTTCGAGCCGGAATTGAACCAGCGACCCAGGGATTCCTGTTGTTAACATCCTACAGTCCTCCGCTCTACCAACTGAGCTACCGAAGGAAACCGAAAATCCTAAACCACTGGAATTGACAGTTACCTAAACATGGAGAATGGCCACCAGTGTTAGTCTACATATATGCTTGTTCAAAAACTGAACATTTCAAATAAATGTACAAAAGATTGAGGCAGCTGCTGTACGACAGGAAGAGGAAGAGCTTTTTTTTTTTTTTGTCCAAACAAATCAAGCAATGACATCGAACTCAAACTTTAAATGGGACATATTATGTAAAACCAACTATTTAATCATTTGATTATGTACATTTGGGACTCTGGAGGGCCTATCAGCAGGCAAAGTGTGAAAAAAGATGACTCAGTTATGTTTTTGTGGGCTGCCTCAGTCAAAATACAGGTGATAAAACACGCAATGTAGACTTCGCACAAACTGTGACGTCACAGTTTGTGTTTGCGACCTTTCACCACGAATGCTGCCACCCCTACTAGGAAGTTTACTTCCCTGTTGTCTAGCGGAGCTCCGCCATTGTTACTATAAAAGAGTAATAAGTATCGCTTATGCATCTTTTCGATTGGGAGAGACAAACATTGGACACCAACATAATTAACTCCTTCGAGCCGGAATTGAACCAGCGACCTAAGGATACCTGCTATCAACATCTACAGTCCTCCGCTCTACCAACTGAGCTATCGAAGGGAGCAGACTGACCTAAACCACTGGAATTGACAGTGACCTAAACATGGAAAATGGCTACCAGTGGTAGTCTACGAACATGCTCGTTTAACAGCGGAAAATTTCAAATAAACGTAGTAAAGATTGAGGCACTTGATGTACTCGTGATGAGGAAGAGTCTTTTTTTTCTTGGGTGTCCGAAAAAACCCAGCAGTGACATCGGACTAAAATTCTCAGGAAGTATCGCTTATGCATCTGTGCCATTTGGAGAGACAAACATTGGACACCAACATAACTAACTCCTTCGAGCCGGAATTGAACCAGCGACCTAAGGATTCCTGCTTAAACATCCTACAGTCCTCCGCTCTACCAACTGAGCTATCGAAGGGAGCAGACAGATGTAAGCCACTGGAATTGACAGTGACCTAAACATGGAAAATGGCTACCAGTGGTAGTCTACGAACATGCTCGTTTAACAGCGGAAAATTTCAAATAAACGTAGTAAAGATTGAGGCACTTGATGTACTCGTGATGAGGAAGAGTCTTTTTTTTCTTGGGTGTCCGAAAAAACCCAGCAGTGACATCGGACTAAAATTCTCAGGAAGTATCGCTTATGCATCTGTGCCATTTGGAGAGACAAACATTGGACACCAACATAACTAACTCCTTCGAGCCGGAATTGAACCAGCGACCTAAGGATTCCTGCTTAAACATCCTACAGTCCTCCGCTCTACCAACTGAGCTATCGAAGGGAGCAGACAGATGTAAGCCACTGGAATTCACAGTGACCTAAACATGGAAAATGGCTACCAGTGTTGGTCTACGTATATGCTTGTTTAAAAGCGGTAAATTTCAAATAAACGTACTAAAGACTGAGGCACTTTTTGTACCATGGGCGTAGAGGAGCTTATTTTCTGTCAGAACAAATGAAGCAATATCATTGAACTCAAACTTTAAAGAAAGATTGTGGTACAACAAGTGCCACAATCTCGGCCACAATCCATGGGATTCGGAAGAACTTTTTTTTCTTTCCAAACAAATCAAGCAATGACATGGAACTTGATCTTTGAAGATGTGTCGCTTACGCATATTTCTCCGATTAGGAGAGACAAACACTGGATACCAGCTAAAACCACATCCTTCGAGCCGGAATTGAACCAGCGACCTAAGGATTCCTACAGTCCTCCGCTCTACCAACTGAGCTATCGAAGGAAACCGAAGATGCTCCCACTGGAATTGACAGTTACCTAAACATGGAGAATGGCCACCAGTGTTAGTCTACATATATGCTTGTTCAAAAACTGAAAATTTCAAATAAATGTACAAAAGATTGAGGCAGCTGCTGTACGACAGGAAGAGGAAGAGCTTTTTTTTTTTTTGTCCAAACAAATCAAGCAATGACATCGAACTCAAACTTTAAAGGGGACATATTATGTAAAACCAACTATTTAATCATTTGATTATGTACATTTGGGACTCTGGAGGGCCTATCAGCAGGCAAAGTGTGAAAAAAGATGACTCAGTTATGTTTTTGTGGGCTGCCTCAGTCAAAATACAGGAGATAAAACACGCAATGTAGACTTCACACTAACAGTTTGTGTTTGCGACCTTTCACCACGAATGCTGCCACCCCTACTAGGAAGTTTACTTCCCTGTTGTCTAGCAGAGCTCCGCCATTGTTACTGTAAAAGAGCAAGCTAGCAGAGAACAAACAGGCGAGCCCAGCCTGCAGCCTGCAGCCTAATGTCTGGGCAAAGGCTAACTGTTAAGTCATTGGCTGCACAGCCCAACACAAATCTACATATGTATGAGCACAGTGGATTTATTGGAATTACTGGATTTGACACTGACCTAAACATGGAAAATGGCTGCCAGTGTTGGTCGACGTATATGCTCGTTTAAAAGCGGTAGATTTCAAATAAACGTAATAAAGATTGAGGCCCTTTTTGTACCGAGGGACATAGAAGAGCTTTTTTTTCTGTCCGGAAAATGAAGGAATGACATCAAACTCAACCTTTGAAGATGTGTCGTTTGCGCATTTGTTCGATTTGGAGAGACAAACACTGGATACCAACATAATAACATCCTTCGAGCCGGAATTGAACCAGCGACCTAAGGATTCCTGTTGTTAACATCCTACAGTCCTCCGCTCTACCAACTGAGCTATCGAAGGAAGCAGATATCCCTGAACCACTGGAATTGACATTGACCTAAACATGGAAAATGGCCACCAGTGTTAGTCTACGTATATGCTTGTTCAAAAGCGAGATAAAAGATTGAGGCACTTGATGTACTCGTGATGAGGAAGAGTCTTTTTTTCTTGTGTGTCCGAAAAAACCCAGCAGTGACATCGGACTCAAACTCTCAGGAAGTATCGCTTATGCATCTGTGCCATTTGGAGAGACAAACATTGGACACCAACATAATTAACTCCTTCGAGCCGGAATTGAACCAGCGACCTAAGGATACCTGCTATCAACATCCTATAGTCCTCCGCTCTACCAACTGAGCTATCGAAGGGAGCAGACAGAGGTAAACCACTGGAAATGACAGTTACCTAAACATGGAAAATGGCTACCAGTGGTAACATGCTCGTTTAACAGCGGAAAATTTCAAATAAACGTACTAAAGATTGAGGCCCTTTTTGTACAACAGGATGTAGAAGAAGATTTTTTTTTTTGTGTCTGAAAGAACCAAGCAGTTACATCGAACTCAATCTCTGAGGATGTATTGATTTTCAGAGACAAACATTGGACACCAATATAATTAACTCCTTCGAGCCGGAATTGAACCAGCGACCTAAGGATACCTGCTATCAACATCCTACAGTCCTCCGCTCTACCAACTGAGCTATCGAAGGGAGCAGACAGAGGTAAACCACTGGAAATGACAGTTACCTAAACATGGAAAATGGCTACCAATGTTGGTCTACGTTAACAACGATGAATTCCAAATAAACGTGCTAAAGATTGAGGCAGCTGCTGTACGACGGGAAGAGGAAGAGCTTTTTTTTTCTCCGTCCGATTAAATGAAGCAATGACATCGAACTTAAACTTTAAAGAAAAACTGTGGCACTTGTACCACGGGACAAGGAAGAGGTTGTTTTTTTCCCTCGAAAAAATCAAGCAATGATATCAAACTGATCCTCTGAAGAAGTATGGCTTACATATCTGGAAGATTTAGAGAGACAAACATTTAGTCTCCATACATGTTTCACTGATGTGAATTTCAGATAAGTGTACTAAAGCACTTGCGGTACCACGGGATTTGGAAGAGCTTTTTTTTCTTTCTAAACAAATCAAGCAATGACATCAAAAGCAACCTTTGAAGATGTGTCGCTTATGCGTTTTGTCTGATTTGGACAGACAAACATCTGATATCAAGATAATCACATCCTTCGCGGCGACCTAAGGATTGCTGCTATCAACATCCTACAGTCCTCCCCTCTACCAAATGAGCTATAAAAGGGAGCAGACTGGTGTAAACCACTGGAAATCACAGTTACCTAAACATGGAAAATGGCTACCAATGTTGGTCTATGTTAACAACGATGAATTCCAAATAAACGTGCTAAAGATTGAGGCAGCTGCTGTACGACGGGAAGAGGAAGAGCTTTTTTTTCCTGTCCGATTAAATGAAGAAATTACATGGAACTTAAACTTTGAAGAAAAACTGTGGCACTTGTACCACGGGACGAGGAAGAGGTTGTTTTTTTCCCTCGAAAAAAATCAAGCAATGATATCAAACTGATGCTCTGAAGAAGTATGGCTTACATAGTTGATGTAGTTGTGATGAGGAAGAGTCTTTTTTTCTTGTGTGTCCGAAAAAAGCCCAGCAGTGACATCGGACTCAAACTCTGAGGAAGTATCGCTTATGCATCTGTCCGATTTGGAGAGACAAACATTGGATACCAACATAACTAAGTCCTTCGAGCCGGAATTGAACCAGCGACCTAAGGATTCCTGCTTAAACATCCTACAGTCCTCCGCTCTACCAACTGAGCTATCGAAGGGAGCAGACTGGTGTAAACCACTGGAATTGACAGTGACCTAAACATGGAAAATGGCTACCAGTGTTGGTCTATGTATATGCTTGTTCAAAAGCGGAAAATTTCAAATAAATGTACAAAAGATTGAGGCAGCTGCTGTAATAATGCCGACCAATCAGAGCAGACTGGGCTTTTCGGGAGGGGGGCCTTAAAGAGACAGGAGCTAAAACCGATTATTTCAGACAGAGGCTGAAAAGAGGTGCTCAGCTATAGGCAGTATGAGAAAAATAATATGTATATTGAACATTAAAACATCTAAACCTATTGTAGTAGAGCCACAAAATACAATTATGAACCTGAAAAGGGCATAATATGTCTCCTTTAAAGAAAGACTGTGGCACAAAAATCAAGCAATGATATCGAACTGAAACTCGGAAGAAGTAACGCTTACATATCTGGACGATTTGGAGAGACAAATATTTAGTCTACGTATGTGCTCCTTTAACAGCGATAAATTCCAAAAATAAACGTACTAAAGATTGAAACACTTGCTGTAAAAAGGGATGAGGAAGAGTCTTTTTTTTCTTGTCTGTCCGAACAAATCAAGCTCTGACATCAAACTCTCAGAAAGTACCGCTTATGCATCTTTTTGATTGGGAGAGACAAACATTGGACACCAACATAATTAACTCCTTCGAGCCGGAATTGAACCAGCGACCTAAGGATTCCTGCTATCAACATCCTACAGTCCTCCGCTCTACCAACTGAGCTATCGAAGGGAGCAGACAGAGGAAAACCACTGGAAATGACAGTTACCTAAACATGGAAAATGGCTACCAATGTTGGTCTACGTTAACAACGATGAATTCCAAATAAACGTGCTAAAGATTGAGGCAGCTGCTATACGACGGGAAGAGGAAGAGCTTTTTTTCCTGTCCGATTAAATTAAGCAATGACATGGAACTTAAACTTTAAAGAAAAACTGTGGCACTTGTACCACGGGACGAGGAAGAGGTTGTTTTTTTCCCTCAAAAAAATCAAGCAATGATATCAAACTGATGCTCTGAAGAAGTATGGCTTACATATCTGGAAGATTTAGAGAGACAAACATTTAGTCTACATACATGTTTCACAGACGTGAATTTTAGATAAGTGTACTAAAGCACTTGCGATACCACAGGATTTGGAAGAGCTTTTTTTTCTTTCTAAACAAATCAAGCAATGACATCGAACGCAACTTTTGAAAATGTGTCGCTTATGCGTTTTGACTGATATCAATATAACTACATCCTTCGAGGCTGAATTGAACAAGCGACCTAAGGATTCCAGCTATCAACATCCTACAGTCCTCCGCTCTACCAACTGAGCTATTGAAGGGAGCAGACTGAGGTAAACCACTGGAATTGACAGTGACCTAAACATGGGAAATGGCTACCAGTGTTGGTGTACGAACATGCTCGTTTAACAGCGGAAAATTTCAAATAAACGTACTAAAGATTGAGGCACTTGATGTACTCGTGATGAGGAAGAGTCTTTTTTTCTTGTGTGTCCAAAAGAATGAGGAAGTTCGCTTATGCATCTTCGTTTCATTGTGTGTCCTTAAAAAGCGGGACCTAAGGATTCCTGTTTGAACACAGTGACATCGAGACTCAAACTAAACATGGAAAATGGCTACCAATGTTGGTCTACGTATATGCTCTTTAAAAACGGTATATTTCAAATAAACGCCAAAGTTTTGTACCGAGGGACATAGAAGAGTTTTTTTTTCTATCCGAACAAATGAAGGAATGACATCAAACTCAACCTTTAAAAATGGTTCGTTTGCCCTTTTTTTATTTGGAGGGAGAAACACTGGACACCAACATAATTAACTCCTTCGAGCCAGAATTGAACCAGCGACCTAAGGATTCCTGCTATCAACATCCTACAGTCCTCCGCTCTACCAACTGAGCTATCGAAGGGAGCAGACAGTTCTACACCACTGGAATTCACAGTGACCTAAACATGGAAAATGGCTACCAGTGTTAGTCTACGTTAACAGCGATGAATTCCAAATAAACGTACTGAAGATTGAGGCAGCTGCTGTACAACGGGAAGAGGAAGAGGTTGTCCCACCCCCCGAAAAAATCAATGCATTGAAGTCAAACTCTGAAAACGTTTTGCTTTGCTACCAGGTAAGCATGAGTTGGACATGTCAGAGACTGGAGAGTCATTCCCAGACACA